AGCTAAGCACAGATGTTGGTACTTAGAGCTGCACAAAACTTTGCCAGGTAAATAACAAATTGCAGGGTTATGAGCGGCTTCTGAACATGCACAAATATGTTGCATGGCACAGCAGTTTAACTACGTTAGTCACTGTATGCAGTTGAAGAAAAACAACATCTTCCAACCTTTACATTAAAACAAGCCAAGTCCAAAACCCAACCAGGTAAACACACATTTTTTCCCTGTTGATTTTGGATCAAGCTTTAAGTAAGAACTGATGGTAGACAGCAGTTCTAACCACTCAAGGAGGAAAGTAATGACTGGTGTTCAGTACTGGTTTACTGTAACAGTAATGGACTATTAAAAAATATAACTACAAAAGAAAAGACACTAATACCAAGTTTCTGAAGGTGGTACTTGATAGCTTTTTACACACTATCTGTTCTCCAGACTGCAAAATACAACACAACACAGACATCAGAAGTCATCAGCCTTCTCTAACTTCCATCCATGTCAATTAACATCTGCAGTTAATTTGTGGTACTTACTAATTTATAAGGACCTGCTCCATTTTGCTGTGGAGTGTGGTTTAGCATGCTGCTAGAATGCTCTTCTGCTTGCTCAGGTATTTTTTGCCTTTCACGTTCCTGCAAGAAGTCTAATACTTGACAAAGTTAACGTGAAATAAATTTGTCACCTGACACTTCAGTGCTTCATCTGTCTCTTGCTTGCAGAACACTTATAATGAAACTATTTAAACCTTTAGAAAGCTTTAAAATTAACTTTACTCATGGAAAGGTTATGAATTTGATCTACAATTTGCTAAAGGATTGACAAAGTGCCCCACATTCATTAATTTATTGTTATTTTTATAGAATCAGAACATACCTCCATTGTGGACAGAACAGAAAGGCTTCTCAGGCGAGTCCATCTGACCTCAGTCTGGCATCAGGATGAGACCAGACAAGCTGTGCACCACCTCTCCCACCTCCTTTGCAACTTGAGCTACAGCAGATTTTCTGTTAGTGCCCATGCAAACACTATAGTACATGCCCAGCCTGGTAGGAAGCCAAGGTCTGGCCATCATCAGCCTTCATGGGCTCTCCCAGTATCAGAATCATTAGCCTGGATTTACAGTGGTGTGCTCAGTTAACCACACTCTGCCCACTTCGCTTGCTATACCTGGCCCTAGATGTACCACCTGGACAAAAGAAATCTTGGAATAAAAGCACTGCACAGAGTACTTACAGGGTGATCAGCTTGTTCATTTTGCCACACTTCCTTGAGATTCTGAACTTGCTAGGTTGAACACACCCCAGTAGGTAAGAAGCAAAAGAGGAGAAATTCTAAAATCTCTTTTACTTGCTAGATCTCCACCTACATCCTTATACCCCTCCTGCAAAGTTCAAAGTGTCCTTTGAGTCAGGTTTACAATGAAGAACTCATTATAATTCTGCTATTTATTCCATTCTATTTAAGATGCTCCAATACAGATCAGTTTGAACACCTGCTGTGCCTCAGTGATACAGGCATTAAAGCAAGATTTTACAATAATTTCATTCCATTTAATCATACAAGAAATAATGTAATGCCTTCACAGTACGTAGTACTAACTCCTTTCAGTTTTTCTGATTTTTGCTTGAATACATAGCTTACACTTAAATATTTTTGCAGTATACAAGAGATTGTTTCAAGTGCTATAGTTTAAGTCAGACACAGACCAAACAGTGTTGAAAAACATGATCAGTACCATCAGATAAGCTCTTCCTTGATGCAGGTCTTGGCTAAAATGCAAAAGTTATTCAGGAACAAGTCAAACACATCCTCAGGTTCCTGCATTGTTCTAAGGTCTTTGAGACATCTACGCCTTCCACAGCAGCAGGCACATTCCATAGGGAGTTCTGTGTATGTCTGGTATCAGTTACAGCTGAGTGAACAAATCCTCATGCTCAAAGCATCAGTTGATGTAAATCACTACTGTACTAACAAAGCCAGAAGAGCCACATCAGTTTACAACACAGGATATGACCCATACTTGCAGCTTGGGAAAGCAAGTCAAAGGAAAACTGCTTTTCCTTTTCATAGCCTGGTTCTCTAATTAGGATTTTTGTCCACACTGTAATTTGGTATTGGAGAAGAAAGTACCATATACTTTAAGCAGACAAATCACAATGAGATACAAAAACTTGCTATAGCTGAATTTACTTAAACATAACTTGCAAATGTTATGTTTAAGTAAACATATGTCCCAGATTCATCAAGACCCAAAAACTATGAAGAGCAATTGTTGCAAGCACATTGGGAACACCAATTCTAGTCCTTATTAGAATGGCTGGCTAATAAGCACTAACATCCCATGTGGAACTACTGTGATCTTGAAAAATTTGGGGCTCAAGAGATTTGAAAAAAAAACAAAAACAAAAAAAAAACCACAAAACAAAAAAAAAAAAAAAGGGAGAAAGGGGAATAAAATAGCCATCCCATACCTGGACACACAAACCTGGCATAGAAGAGTCCAAGCAATGAGCACAATGTTGGCCTCTGGGGACAGGTGAGAGAAAGGCTTTTGAACTGAAAAAGTGCAAGACTAAGCTCAGATGAAAAACACCTAGGCAAACAAAAATATCAAGCTAGGAAATTGTTGCTTGATTATTGTGCAAAGACAAAGTTGCCTATTTTGCCACTCTGAGAATGTTTTAAGTGTTTTAACATGACTGCGAAATTGACCTGACAAGAGAAAGGGTAAAATGGGAAAACAGACAGGGTGACTAATCATGCAGTTGATAAACAGTTTGCTTTGCTAGAAAAAGAGACCTGACCTTCAACTATTCAGTCCTTCCATGCCTGCACACTTGTGCCCTGTTCCCTGAAACTCTCCCTACTCTGCAACAACTTCTGGCAGCCAGCTCCCAGGACTACTCCCACTGAAAAGCAGTGATCCCTGATCCAACAGCCTAGAGAGCCCATGCTCCGCAGTCCCCTTCAAAGTCCCAAGACAGCACTGCTCACATATTTTACTAGCATCCCTGTCACACTGACTTCCTGCCTCTGAACTCAGAATTTAGGGTGCAGGCACACCACATTCCCCTGAATGGTACAATGATTGCTTGGTGCTAGTCACCTTGTTCTCTTGTGCAGGTCTCCAACGGAAGGACCAGCACTGCTCTATCACCCCAGCAGAGCAAAGGAAAATGAGATGAAGATTGCACCTTCATTCTTGAAGAGAAACATTTCCAAAAGATTTTGTCCAAGCAAAGGAAATGAGCATGACTGTTAGGGACCATCCACATGTACAAATCTCAAATGTTAACCTCAGGAATCCCTTATGAAAGTTAGCACTAAGCAAAGGGATGGGCCAGAATTTACTGTTCCCTTTAGCTTTATAGAAGGAGAAGGTGTGTTCGGAAAGATTTCAGGCTTTGCCACACACGAGGAAGAACCGGCCTGTCTTCCTTCACTTGTCAGCATGATTCTTCTCACTGAGCAACAGGTAAAATAAAAAAAAGCTTTTTAAAAAGGAAATATTGCCCTTTCCCATTAAGGTTAAAAGTTAGAAACCTTAATAGCCAGCATACTTCTCCTAGAAGAAGAGGGAGATTTTTTTCTATACGTAGACCACAGTTCTCTGATTTGCCTACTTTTGTGATCAGCATCTCAGTGGCAAACCCATCCCAGTGCAGGGTTAAGTCACTGGCTTCAGTAGTCTGTCCAGAGCATGGACAACTGTGTTCTGAGTAGGACTGATCCAGAGATATGAATAAACTTAAAACTCAAGTAGGCATGACAAAGACTTGAACCACCATGAACATTCACAAGCCCCAACAGGTTTGCAAGAAGACCTAATCGGACTTGCGATCCAAGTTTGCACTTTTTGCACAAGAAGTGGGAGCAAGTTTTCTCCCGTAGACATTTCCACTCACCTAACAGACAGACCAACTAAACAAACTGCTCCAAACCCTCTTCTCAATTGGCTCCTTGAGCATCTAAAAATCACATCTAAAAGGTGGCAGACAATAAGCTCTGAACAGACAGCAGCCACACAGTCCTGGATGTATTTGATGACACCAAATCAAACCACACACTACACCAGCTCACACCGATGAGCAGGTTGAAGCCTCTTGCTAAATCCTTATCAGTACACAGCAAGAGCCCAGGCCAAAAAAAGCTACATGACTGCTCCAAGTCTCAAATCAAGTCTTGTTTCTGAATCTGTTGCTGACAAGACTTTAATTCCAAAAGCCTGTGCTATAAATCACTACATGGGTGAAAAAAAACCTGTGGAGGAAGTGTTAACATAGAGTTAGGTTTCCCTGGGAATTAAGGAGCTCTGTGAGAAGACACCTTGTTATAAAAGCCAATCCTCTTCTGAAGTGACTGCCAAACACAGTCCTTGAAGAGAACAGCAGACAGGCCACTTTAACCTGATGTCATCTTGACATTCAGGCAATTCTACCCAAGGTTTGCTTGATGATTCAAAATGGGAAGAATCAGCATTCCTTAGTGTAAGGTCAGAGGGGGGAAAAAAAAAAAATCATAATTTGCCCGTTTGCCAGGTTAGCATAGTCAAATTAGATGCCATTTGTGATATTTTTTTTTCCCTTTCAGAACTACACATCTGTGTGCATTCACACACAGGCATTAATAACTTGGGTATGACACAGACTATCAAGATGGATAGGCAAGGTTTCTAAACATGAAGTAGTAGCACTAAGTTCCCCTCGGCATGCTCAGGTACCAGCAGTACCAGCAGCACAGGGTACATTCACCTCACACAACAAAGGGGCTCATGATGATTCTCAGCACAGTATCCTTCAAACATCTTACAGGCAGCAATGCAGTCCCTCTAACTGCCATGAAGTCATGCCATTCTACCCAGCTGCAATGAAGTGCCTGTGAGGAAGAGCAAGATGGCCCCTAGATGCCTGTTACATAATTTCAGCCTTTAAATGGGTACCATAAATCCACTCTTCCCCTTGCCACAGCACACTTTGAGGCAGTGAAATGAAACTGCATCTTACCTTGTCTTTGGATAAAAACCCTGAGCAGTGGATGAGCACTTGAAACGGCCTTGAAGAAGTTGTCATCATTATTAATAGGGAGAAGGTCTCCATGCACATCAGCATATCCGATCATCACTTCCAGGTTGGCTATGTGATGAATGTGAAGAATTAGCTTATAGAAGTCTTCAAACTTTCCTGGCTTGTAGCGATCCAGAGAGAACCTTCTGAACTCTGCTCCAAACTGCAAGAGAAAGCAAACAGAGCATCAGCAGATGTGTCACCACAGGCCAATGCTCCAGTCTGGCACCTGAATGTTGTAAACACCACCTCTCTTTTCATAGATTTAGAGAGCCACAGGATCAATCAGGTTGGAAAAGACTTCTGATATCATTGAGACAGGCTTCTACTATTCAAACCTATTCCTGGTGAATACAGTCACAAGTTGGTGCTTTCAAGTCTACTAACGGGTCCTCCCATCAGAACATAACTATGGCTACCAAGACACCACAGGTACACTCAAATGTTCCATCTTAAAAGAATTCACATTTTTTAAATATTAAGCTTTCATTAAATCCTCTAGAGGATAAGTGCATTTGTAGGACTTAACTTTGAAGGTCCATCATTCATTATCATCATCTCAAGCATCCACAGAACCATTCTTATCCAAAGCAGAAATATTCACTCTACAGCTTTCAAAAGAAGTTCCTCAGCTATTCAAACAACCTTTTAAAAATTCTCTGCACATTTCCCATCAATCCCACTGGGATCCCAACCACAAGACCTTTAAAGAAGCATGGTATGTGAGCACATGGCTTGTTATTAGAAAATACACTCACTCTACATGACCCCTAAATTTCCTGGCAATCCATGCAGCAGAAGGAAAGTTAGTTTTCATGGCTTTAATTTTTCTGTCACTCCACTGGTTTTTATTTTAAAAGCTTTATAGCCCATTAAGCGATTGTCCAAAAAAAAAAAAAAAAAAAAAAAAAAAAAAAAAATAGCACAAGTAGGAGAGTGTGATTTGGCAGAAGACAATAGAAAATGTTATAAATCCATGAAGCTGTTTTAAGTAAGTCAAAGTGACTGAGGAGAAGATTTCAATGGTCCTTATTTCTGATATTAGGAACAAAATATGCTGTTAAGAACAGAAGAGAAAAATCTGATCCCCTATTTAAGGAAATTAAAATAATGAAAACAGGCATCTAGTTAGATGAAACAGCTTAAATCACCTTTCTGGTACATTTAATTTAATATTTCAGATTGTATAGTATGAGTAAACTACTGCTCATCAACCAAACTTCTGAAACTACCTTAACTCTTGAGCACATGGAACCACAGCCACAAATCCAAGAACAAGCAAGACTAACTAGGACCTCATGGAAGTTCTTATCTGCAAAGTCAGCCAATACCAGGGCTAGAAACCAAAGACACAGAACTAACAAGCACACATAAGAAATAAAAAGGGGGAGAATCTCCCCTAGACAAATTCTTCCTCAAAATGGAGAATGACTTGCTTAGAGGTTCTCAGCTGTTAAATCAACTATACATGCAAGCCACTCTTCTGCTGAGACTAACAAAAGTATGAATCATCACCATAATCATCTTCAAGTAAAAATGAAAAAAAGAAGCCAACATAACCCTACTGGCTTTGGGCACAAGCATATTCTCAAATTACTTCCGCAGTTATGAAAATCCCACTCCTGAGCATCAAAGCCTAGTTGTGATCATCTGAAAGCTTGTTTAGTCAAATTATGTTGCTTGTTTGTAATATTAACTGCTAGTTCCAGTTTGGATTTCAGAGTGCCCATCCAAATGCACAAAAGGCAAGCAAACCACAGCTGGTTCCAATGGAGGAAAAAACAGTCCTCCTTTGTCCTTCACCCCCTGCTCCTCCCCAGAAAAATTCGAGTGCCAACTTACTTCTGTGGGCACATTTCGAACCAAAAAGAAAAAGCTAAAGTCGTCTTATTTAAAAAGTATCCAAAAGTTTTCTTTTTCTTAGATTCAAGCTAGAAAAAGGCATCTTCGAGTGTCAAGTTTAACACCTGTCTACATGATAAACTAATGGGACAGGAACAAGGTCTTTGTAGGTTTTGCTTGGAGCTGCATCTACTGCTCTGCACACCTGAAGGAGGAACCCGGGATTCCTTGGGATTCCCTTAGCCAAAATGCCAGGGCATTCAGACACCAATCCCAGTAACCATTTGTTTACTGGACAGCTCGTTCGGGACCATTAGCATGCTTGGTACTTTGGAGGAAGCAGCTGCTGTGCAGTCTTACCCCAGGCAGGACAATACCCCCCTACACATCCCCCCTCGGACCCATGGTCTGCTGAGGGAACCCATCCAACCTGCTCTGCCCAACACAGCCAGAACAGGGCTCAGGTCCTGTGCAGGGACATTGCACCCAGCAGGAAAGTGACACGGAAAAGGACAGAGGAGAGAACTGAGGATGGTTACTTGCACTTGGCTGGTATGACCCAAAGCTCAGCTTGAGTTGCCACATGAGAAGACAGCTGGAAAAAGGGCCAAGCCTCCCAGCCTAGCCCCTGCAGGCACACTGGAAACTACAGGATCAGTGGAGCCTGACATGTGGGAATGCCATTGCAGGCTTGGGGCACCGAGGTCTGACAGGAATGCTGTACAGTCAAATTGACTTGTTCACATGTTCAGCCCTAGGAAAGCCCAAGAGTCAATTTCATTTGCCTGGGAATAGCACAATAGTAAACAAATGCAAAAGATTTCACTTGTGCTTTCTGCATGACCCAGCTTTTTGAGGCAAGTGAGCTAGAAGGTGACTCTGTAGAGGAGAAGGGAAGAGTCAAGAGATTTAAGCAGATAATGAGAATGACCTTTTTGTTTAAAGGTTAGTATTACTGTAGTAATAGTTTAGCTGATTTATTCACCCTGTGCACATACACTAGCAGCAACCATTGTCAGCAGGTCTTTTCAGAAGAGCGGAAAAAACTGCTTCAGCTCATTCATCATCCCTAATGAGACTGATAGAGAGTATCGCAGCAATAATGGGGTTTGCAGTACCACTCAGCTTGGAGACTGGGGGCTCTGCATTGTATTCAGACGGGATTTCAAGATAACATCCACCTTCTATCTTACAGAAACTACGAATTCTGATAGCCAAAATGATTGATCTGCTTGTCTAAGTCACAAAGTTCATCTTATCACATCCCTTCACAGAAAGATACACAAGGGCTGGTGTCTGCCAGCAGTCTCTGCCAGAACAATACTGTATTATACTGTTTGATAAACTAACAGTTTTAACAAGCAGATTAATTTTCCATAATGAAGTAAATTACTCAGGCCTATTTAACTAGTGCAAGTACTGCATCCAGTATTGCAGAAGTCAGAGGACAGGAGGAACGCAGAGAACTTAAAAAGAATTTAGTCTGACTGAGCTTGTTATGACTGAAAAAAACAACTAAGAAAGAACTGTACATTTTGTTTCACAAAAGTAACCTCCCTCCCAAGATCCTCAATCAGCCAATCACTGTATTTGTATTTGTTGTCCGCAGTTTGATGACAAAAAACTCACAACAAATGCAACACATCAGACAGGAACACTGAACAAAAACAGATGCCCAGAAAAGTGTTCAGATAAAAGTTGTGTTAAAGAAGAAGGAAGACACAGCTAGCTGATCAAAACTTACACAGGCTGATCAAGAGCAACCAACTGCTTTCTTTGGCTTTTTTCTGGCTAAAGGGTAAAAGAGGTCAGAGGAGATGAGGGAGCGGGATTTTGAGGTTTGTTTACTTAGCGAGCTGCTATTTTGTGAAATGAAAGAGTTATTTGCAAGCAAAAGAGAGCAACTATTTTTTTTTCTTTAAATTTTAAGTTTCAAGATGCTTACAGGGCCAAAAATGAAGCCCTATGTTTATGAGGTGCCATCCCTCTAGTTTATTGCTGGCTTTGAAATCAGGGTATTGTAATAAGATGACATCAAAGAGCAACATTTAGCAATAAACATGAATTACATTAGCCACCTACTTCTCTTGTGAAGTAAAAAAATCAAGAACAGAAAGAAATCTAAACACTTTAATCCTTGCATAGACTGTAATTTCTTCTCTCATGTGAGATTTTCAAAGCTGGCAAGAGCTAATCAGGGATGCTTTATCAGCGAGAATGAGCAGAGGGCAAGAAAGAGGAGGAGGGAAGATAATGTAAATGGTTTTGTGCTTGCTGACTTCACCTGGGACTTCAGAGCTCTACTGTCATATTCATGTCTCTGTTTCTCTGTTCCCTTTTTCTCGCCCAGTTGCATCTTCCCCAGCTCACACAGCATTCTCTGGCTCTGCTCCCAGTCTCAGAGTGGTTGTCACTAGTGGCAAAAAGCCACCAAGAAAGCAGATGTTCTGTGCAACAAGTTCTCTCTTCAATGGCTTGTTCCAGAGCAGCTCTACTTCACTAAAATGATCGAGCTGGTGGAAAGTGTGAGATTTCATGTTCTGCTCAGTCCCTTGCTCACATCTTGCTATTTCTTCCAAGAAAGCCACAAGAGCAAGACAGCCTCTCTCCTATTTGCCCTTCATAGAAATCCCATCAGGGACACAATTTCACTACCTTCTCCCGCAAACTTTTTTCCCAATTGACATCATGCCATACTTCTACCTTTCTTCCTTCTAATCCCTCCTTTTACTCTCCCAGAAAAACACAGCCATGCTTTAGTATCTTAAATGCTTGAAATACTTTCTCTCACCAAAGAAAATCAGTGGCTCCCCTTCTTTTTCCTCTTCTTTGACACAATGTTTCATATCTCTGCTTTTTGTTACAAGAACAACCTTTGTAACTCCTTCAACCCTCTCCAGGGGTCTGTAAGGCTCAGTTCAGGACAGCACTTCCCTTTCTTCCGCATCTACTTACAAGATAAATTCTTCTCTCTGTTCCCATTACTCTCAGATCACCTGCTGCTCATGAGATGCACCTCACATTCAGTTTCATAGATATCTCCTCACAGATGCTTGGCTGTCAGCTCAAGGTCAACTTAAAGCCAAGCTTGCCCTTTCCCCTGCCTCACTTACCTTACTTCACAATTTTTGGGAACTAGACCACTAGGCTGCTTATTTTGCCTCACGACAGAATGGCAGTCTGTGAAAATAGTTATTCTCAGAAACAAATTTATCAGCTTGTTTGTTTGGAACCATCATCCTCCTTCCTTTGCCAGCCTTGCTCCAGCAGTTCCTCTCCTATCAGGTCACCTACGTAGCTACTTTCTCCCTACCAGCACAC